TTATCTCTACGTGTACCGATACACGTATTGATCTACGGTGTTGTTGATAAACACTGGCGAACAAATTACTTGGGTAAACGTCAGAATTTCGTTATACCGTAAACAAGATACACTCAGAAACATATTCTGTTATTGTTAATAAAAAAATCCTTCTTGGGTATCGATTGAAATATCAAGAATATGCAGACAACAAATTAAAATTAATTGCACGATAAATGTACCGGTGATTACAATAATAACCTAAGTCGATTAAATATTCTGGAAAAATGCTTTCATATAACGTAATCAATGTACCATCAAATACGTTCAATCTTTTTAGACTTTTCACCACTTTCATAATCACCAGCACAAATGTCCAAGAATTAGTTATTTCCTATTTTATGTTTAATTGTTTGTTGTCACGGGAGAACAGCAAATAATTGCAATGTAATCACGTTCAACCACATGTGATCTTGTGTTGTCCCAGTAGAAGAGGGAATGTTCTCTCTGTCTGCGTCGAGTAAAGCTGACCGTTTTGTTTCCGATGCTGATTCCAATCGGTCCGGTTGATCACAATGGACTGCAACTGTGATCGTTCGAGTTCAGTTCTGCTCGGCTCAAAGTGTGCAAGCCCTTTCGTATTCTATAAAACATGGGAAGAGGGACAACTGTGAGGACAAACTCGCTTCTGTGCTTGGGATACAGCCACTGTCTACCGCCATTAACGTTACGTATAGTTGCAGCTTCCTGATCCGGAAATGGCTCTGCTGTATCTTCAGGGTTTACTCACCGATCCATGCTTATTGTACTGACTGAGTCTTTGAAACAGCTTCTTCAATGTAACACGAAAATTCCTAAACACTTGTGAACTTCTTTTAAGCGACACTCAATAACTAGATATCAATTCTTTTTCTTTATACTTCCATTGGCAATATTAGACATTTTTCTAAAATAACTGATGAGTTATTGAATCATTCTGACGAGATTTAGAGGGATGGAATTTAACCCTTTGACTATGGATAACACGTGAGGTTGATATTATAGGAAAAAACAGGCTATCGAAAATAATTATATCGAAACGCTTTCACGAAACGGCAACGAGTATTCGGTAAATTGATGGTTGTGCATTCACCGGTAACGGACAGATGCATCGCCAGGCGGCAGAGGTACGGCGAAACGGTGAAATAACGTCGACCCGTTGTGTCTGGGACAAATTAATTTATTCGTCAGCTGGATTTTCGTAGGTTCGCTGTTTTTATTTCCGTACCAGGTTCGCCTGTACAGTAATCTTGTTCCACCATTAGCACAATTATTACTAAATAAATTATACGCGTTCAGCAAGCTGAAACCGGTCTATCTATAGAGAACATTGAATACAACGTGGGAGGGGGCGGCTGATTAAATCGAAATAAATTGCTCGCTAAATACAATGATGGCTTCATTCCCGATTTTCGAGAGTTTTCCCGGCGAAAAAAGGCGCGCGGATTAATCTCAATTAGAGGGCCTCCCCTGAACTTTTCATATAACTTCATTCCCGCCCCCTCAACCCCCCTCAATCGAATCTAAATTCAATAATCTGATTTCACGAAGTTGCATCCAATTTGCATGCGAAATATCGCCGATCTGACGTGAGACGTGCACGCACCTGACGCGATGGCAAACTTTTCCCTGTGACTATAGTATTTATTGCTGTAGTAATCGCTTTCTATAAGTGAATTTTCCGGGTCCAGCTTGTCAATGGCACGATTCTGTCGATCATCAATTTTGTTTGGTGTTTGTATATACATACGAGTCGAGTGTGCGGTAAATATTACAAGACATTATGAAATTGTTAAAAATTGGAAATAAATATTCTTCACGGGATATTAAAGCTTAATGCTACCACGAGTTTTACCTCACATTTTCTTCATACAGACCAGATGTCCCAATACTTATCAGTGGTAGTGTACATTCCATTACTGGTACGAATTTAATTATCTATAAACATTGTCAATACACTGGATTTTATGCATTTATCGTAAATACGAATATACAGTAAAAACCTTCGAAAAAGGAAGGTATACATTTTCTCTTTACTGTGGATCTAACGATATTTTTAATGAAGGAAAAATATCTCTGGCACAATTTCCATTCAGTAAATTGATCCAGAAAAATCTGAATATGTATAAAAATCTGCAGTTTTATAATGAGAAGTAAAATATTTTTACGAAGAAGAATGTTTATCTTATTCAGGACCTATCGTAAGTTTTTACATAGTAATGTAAATTTTTAAATTTCGAAATTTTCAAAAGTTTACCACGTTTATCCAGCGATCGAAGCAAATACGCGTTTATCGTCGGTAGTTCTAGAGTTAATACGGATATATTCCTGGAGCGATCGTCGAGGCCACCGATTGGCAGCACTATCGCGATCGGCTGTTCCGTTACGCGCGATCAACCGCGTAAAAATGACATCTAATTATCGGTGTCACGTACCGTGTTCTTTCTGTCTTTTAATTAATGAACGTCCGCGTCGTTGGTCACGTGAGCACCGTCAACCGCGTTCCAATTATCTGGTTCGGCACTCGCCCCGCGAGAGAAGGAAAAAAAAAACAGAATTCTTCAATATTGCGGCACAAGCGTGTTTCCAGTCGATTGAGATTTCCTCAATTAGTATGACAGTAATCGCGCTTGGATCGGCGTCGACGATTCGCACGGCGGTCGCGACGAAACAGTGGCTTCCCGCGCGATTTAATAAACGTCCACCGTAATTTCTGTCGAACGAGAGACACCAGTGGATTCCAGGTGAGTTAACGGACCGTTTAAAATTCGACGAAATTTTCACGAACATTATATCACTTTCTTCGTTCTTTTTATCCTTTTATTCGCGTTGTTTTCGACGTCAAAAAATTCACCACATGTAAAATGTTTCATTATCGTGCACTAGTAAACGTTAGTTAAACAATTTGTACGATCACCGTAACAGTCTTCGGACTCGGATTTTTCACGGAACGAAAAAGTCAGGACCGAAGGAAGTGCGCTAACGAACTCTATTGTGGATGAAATAGATCGAAATATACGTAACACAGATGCCCACCCGTTGGCCTAGCCTCGTCTTTCGGCCGGAAGGAAACTTGTTTATTTCTATTTAACTGGCTTCAATTCGCTCGAACAGGTTATGGTTGACCGAAAAGGAAAATATTCCTGTTCAGCGGAACGGACCTGGTTTTTCGAATGGATTTAGAGAATCTAGCATGTGAGGCTAATTATGAACCTCCTTCATTAATTCCAAAAGTTTCGCTTCAAATGTGAGTTCACTCGTATTTCTATGGATTCACTTTTCAAGTAAATATTGCCTGAAATTGAATACAGCAATTTTTTCAGGAAAAATGCGCAAAATTTCTATGCGGTATATTTAAAAAAAAATTCTTATATGTATATATGTACAATGTGGCTAGAACTAACCAGAGTTTCAATATTACGACATTTGTTACGTATGTTATCGATGAATAAACATCAAAAATCCGCTATTGACAGTTGGTTGCGTGCGTTCATCAGATCAATTTTCGACGGGCGATTTTCTCGAAAACAATGCCTCGAATAAAACCACCATTGTCCATTGTGCCCATATCGGGGTTATGCTCTGGATTTTCCCCCAAAGTTCCCAACTTTTATTGCGATTCGATATAATCAAACGTTGCACAAACTAAATTGCTTTGCGAAGCTACAAGGTGATTATAACGTGGATGCAGTTGTTGCGAAACCTGTAATAATTTCAATTAAAATTCTCGTTGTCTCGATCGCATCGGTGAATCAATTGCACGATCTTTATGTCCTCAAGGTTTTCGTTTCCTTTGGACCGCGGGGGATCAGCGAACCCGTTTCCTCGTTTCTTTCGATCAGTGGCCCGATTTTAAAAAGGGGTCAGCACCACTGCGCTTCCCAGACGTAATCACTCGGCTACACGCAGCCAGCAACCCATAACGCTTCGTAATTCACCTTATTCTGGCTAGTAATTCCTATAAAGACTGTCGTTTGACTATTAGCAAACATTCTTTGTGCGGTCACGTCGAGAGTTTCGCGGCTGATACCGAGTTCCTTTCGGTTTTCGTGGCACACGCACGAAATGTAGAAAACGTGTAATATTCGATCGATACGATATCAATTCGGGTGACAAGGCAACGATATGCGCGAAAGATTAAGGATTCTTGTTTCTATTACGCTTTGACAGAGAGCAGTTCGAACGATACAGTGGGTAATTAATAGGCAAACTACTCAATATACCAGGTGTGTAACTGGTGATTACAACTGGATAGGAAGTGACACTACGTGAAAAAGTAAGTCAAAATTGTTTCATTCGAGACTTCGTTCTCGAGAAAATTGAATTTGAAAATCTGCTGGATACACCTGCAATATTGTATAGTACAGTAAATTTTCGACGAGTGTTCGATAGCTCCTCGGCACTGAGAAGAAGGCTCCAGGTGTAACGCTGACTTTTTAATGAGGATTTGCACAGTGATAGATAGACTGCGGATTTCATGCATTTATTGCCAATAGGGCTTTGTGTAATACAATAGAGAAAAAACTTTCGTTAGGTGCAATGTGTTTTCTGCTTTATTCTGAACACAATAAAATATTTCAGAGAAGAAAAAAATTCCTATCTTTGCTGTTGACTTCAAACATTTTTAAAATATCATTTTGCATAAAAATCCGCATTTTAGTGATAGAGCTTAGAATTCTAAAGTCAGTGATTTTTGTTTCAGCTGCATATATTGTTCATGAAATATTTAATGTTCAGTCCTGCGGAGTATACTTTGCTAGTCTGTTCGTTGCATTCCGTTTCTACTTACTACGAGTCAAAGTCGATTTTCTTGGAAACAAAATCTCAAAAGATAAAATGTTATTGTATATTTACGACTTACTTTTTCACGTACAATCACCCCTCTAGATTGTACAACCAGTTACATGACACTCTGTATAGCATGTCGCATAACATTCTAAACAATGTTGTAATTTTTGCAAACTTCCAGATAACCCGGAACAATGGAGAGAGGCTCGCACATTGCATTGGCGGACGTGAAACTCGATATCGCGGGTTCGAGTTCCGGGAACATCTCCACGGATAAGCAGAGTCCGAGCAAAACACTGAGCACGTACAGTGCATGCGTAACTGGGATCGATCTAGTGAACCATGTGCTCATTATATTTATGACGGGGTTGACCCTCTGGTATGCATTCCAGTCATCGCGGGTGATGGAACTCCATGTGAGCCTTTGTACTGTCGGGGTACGTGTATCAACTGTAACTTTTTTATACAATGCCCTGGCGAAAGTTTCGACCAAAAAGGGAACAAAGACTTTTTAATTTAAAAGTAAGGACATTGTTCAGAACGTCTAAGACCAGAGGTGACGTTCTTCTTTTTCTTTCTGTAACAATTAGGTGCTTCATTGCGCGTTGTACATTGTCCTGTAACAATTCCCCCTTCGAGTAGAACTATAAATCTCTTTCGTTCTTCCTTCAAATTCTGGGTCCGAGTCTAGTAATGCTACAATTATGATTAACCTTGCTGTTCTTTCCACTTATTCTTCACGTTCCTATCCGTTTGAGTGAAGTTATTTCAAACTTCAAAATGATTTGTCCTTCAGAAATGGGAAATACACAAAAGGTCGTTGGATACTAAAAACAAGTATTTAAAAACAAAATACCCATTGAAATACAGGGTGTCCCACCTTCAATATCTCACTTATTTTTTGAAGATACAAAAAAAGTCTGTATAAAAAGCAAATAAGCAAAACTTTTTCTCAAGGTCATATTACGCGTGGCGTAACAATTGAGATGAAGACCAATCCAATAAACTATAATAAGGGGACCTTCATTTCACTTTGAGTATACAAAATCCACAAATGCATGAGAGTAGATATAAATAATGAAATAACTACGATAGAGGGATTAGTGCAAAAATGTATCGAAATTGATGGACATCACTTTGAGCATTTACTAAAATAAATTTCCTGCAAATCGAAAGCAAGTTGAGATACTGAAGGTGTTCACGTTACGTGGGACACCTTGTATAATTTTCATTTCGGGTAACATAGAACAGTAGGGTTAACCTATCATTAAAAAACCAAAGTGCAAAAAAACACGATGAAGCATTACGTTGTTAAACTCCATTATCAATTCCATTTAGCAGGACAACAAAAGAAGATCCTATTAAATCACGAAAGAGTATTTATCTTGATTTACTTTTCACTGCAACATCCGCGGCGGTCCAGTTATTACCGAGCAATCGTTAAACACTTCCCAGGAAATAATCGACCGCCGCCGTGTACAGAAAGAATAATGTTCCGCCCACTTTTCACCGGAAGTACACTCGCTTCTCCTCACGGTGAGAAGGCTAAATCACTGGACACGCTTTAACAGCCACGCGAAACTTTCAACCCCCCAGACAAACGGAAAAATTCTCGCGGTTTAATCGTTCAAAAACCGCGAGAACTTCTTTGGCCGGGCTCGCGATAAGGGAAAGAAAAAAGTGGAAGGGGGATGTGCAGGAAGGGGTACGGTCGAAGTTACCCGTAACCTTGCCCAGGATACTCCTCCGCAGAGGTCTCTGTGTGGGGACGATTGCGCGGGATTCAAATTGCTCCATTTATTTTCCTCTTACACACCCGTGGTAGAAGGGGCTGAACGCGAAATCGAAATTCAAGAATGACCCGGGGCTCTCGCGCTCGGTTTCATCCCCCTTCCCTTGGGAAAGAGAGAAAGAATGATAGAGGGCTTGGGAGGGTAACCGAGAGGTGGCCAAAGAAGTTCTAACGACTTCGCGAAACGGCCTGTAACTTCTATCGTTCCTGACGACTCGATCTTTTCAAACCCGTTTTCAGTACATCCTACTGATGTCAGAGGCCATTGTCGTGCTGGCGGGTGAAAGCGTACTGACGAACTTTCTTTCCCGTCGTGCCAAGGACCACGTCCACTGGATCCTTCAGGTTCTTGGTGTGATCTGCAACATAGCTGGCGTCTACTTTATGTACGAGGTGAAGAAGGTCCATTTCCGGTCGATACACGCGATCCTTGGTCTTGCGTCCCTGATACTGATGATCCCGTTGACGGTGCTCGGTTATCCGGTGCTTGTCGCGGTCAAACTACGAAAACTGATCCGACCAGTGATCGTCAAGTTCGGCCACAACTTGGTGGGCACGCTGTGCTTCGTGCTGGGAATGGCCTCGCAATGCTACGGCTACAAAATGCGCTGGATCGCGAACGCGTCGGACATACCGAACGTACAACTGCTCACGATAATCGCGACCGCGTTGATCACTGTGCTGTCGGTCAGGGGCTCTCTGCCGACACTCTGTGTACAATTGAGGGCGATATTCAGGTAGACGTTAACCCAGTTGCATCATTTGAAAAAATGAAAAATGGGCTCTGAACCCCTTACTTTACAACGTGATAACGATTTCAAACTGAATTTTGTGAACAAGTATATTATTCGTTTTCTTTGAGTCGATGTGAAATATGCAACAGTATACGTATATACGAGGACTGTTTGATAAGGCAGTGATTTTTTTTTTATAATAGATGAGGCGCAAGTCGCGAGAGTAATTTTGCATTTTATTAGAATTTATTTCACAGCAAATGCATTTGCCCCACTTTTGTCGAGTATACTCGTCATAGGTTAAAAATAATTACGCGCACAAGTGCACGTTTTCAAAATGAAATAAAGCATTTGAAGGATTATATCGTTATTTCAAAATTATGAGACTGATATACATATATGTTGTATCTTGTAATTTGAAGTCAAAAATATCGATATTAAATTGACCTCTTTTTTAATTACTTTTCAACCCTTTAACCCCCAAAAGTTAAGCCCAGAGGGTTAATGAAGAATAATCGTAACATCGTTCATAACGGGCGTGCTGCTTCCGAGTGGTTTGTAGCCTAAGAGTTAATTGTACAGTAAGCGACTGGTTGTAATAAACTGGTAGTGTAATTTTTAATTCACAACACCTTCTCATATTTTTCTTGTTCGAGAATGTCGATGGTTGCTCGAAGTGAATGTTACGAAAGCAGTAATAGCTTCTGATTAAAAAAAAAATAAATATTAGATTAGACTTGCTATGGTAGATAACTATAAACGAACCTCAGTGTTACTTATTGTTAATCATATAGTTTAGTCTAGATATACATTATATTTTGTTTTCTAGTTTATGTATACCAGTATTTCTAGGAACCTGATATTGTCATAAGTTATTTTATAATCTACCTGCGATGTCCACGTTTATTCTAATTATTCGGTAAGAAAATTCTTCGAATATGCGTTAAAATGGTAAAAAACTCGTTCTGGAGGCAAATATTGTTTAGACAAATTATTGACTTCAACTTCTATTGCGGAAACACGAGGGAATCCCGTAATCGGCAGCTGGAAAATACGTATTGCGTTAACGATTGACGCAGACGGAGAACACGTAATCAAAGTTCAATTATATAATGTCATTACGGGTCGATATGTCCGGGAATATCTGCGCGCTGTTTAATTGGGAATTTACACAGCGATCCAAAAGAGACGTTCTCCCTCTCCTCTCGTGCCGGAACAAAGGCGGACCTCGACAATTGTAATTCTTCTGGTGTGCAACGTCGCGTATTCGATACTTAATTAACTGAGACAATCGCTCGAGTAACGATGAAAAGACCTTGGTCCCCGTAAAGACTTTCCTCCAGACAATACGTATCGAGTAGGCTAATTCGAGAACTTAATGTTCGTTACGTATACAGGGTGTAATGGAAGAAATTTGTCTCGAAGAATTGTTCGAAAAATATTAAAAAATGTGTAAAATGATGAAAATTATGTATTATTCTGGTCCAATTGTTCACTGATAATTTAAAGTATCTTTTTTACTAACCTGAAGAATGATAATCGTATTGATATATCTCACGATAATAACGATATCTATAAATCTGCAATACGATAGTTATTTTGAACTCCGTTTGTGGATCAACATGTATAATAACTAGTTAATAAAAATATGTAGGAATGTTTGAAAATAAATGAATTGCAGAATTGTTGAGACGGGTTTTTCCCCGAATGGATGAATGCGAAGGCTTAATCTAAAATCCGATATAGGCTAAACCACGAATGGCCTCCCGATAGTAAGATTGTTTTCGATACTGTTATCAGCAGTAAATTCATTGGTGATCGACTAATTATTTCCTGTTATATACCCTGTACGTTAAATTAGTAACACCTCTATCAGCGATTCAGCGGAACGCAATCGTCGACAAAGCGGATTCAATTAACGCGACATGTTTAATGTTAATCTTTTCGCGGTTGCAATCTCCTTTCACGGATGATTAATACGTTCGTTGACACTCGATAAACTGTACGTGACTGATAGAAAGGTAACGTTCGTTCCGGGCTGACATTTATTTCCCTGACTTTGATCCTCAAGAAACGTGGCATCGTTTCAGACTCGGACGTTATTCATACGCTTGCGATACCGATTCCCACATCGACAGACGTAGAAGATACACACGTACACGTTCGAGCAAAACTAAATACATTTACTTGAATCGAATCCCACCATTTCAATCATGAAAGTTTGCAAACGGTTGACACGTTTCCTTTTCAGAAGTTTAAATAATCCAACGGTGATACAAATATTTCCTTTCGAATGCCCAGAAGTCTCGGGTTCGTAACAGCAATCGGATTTGGAATTTCTGCCCTACGATTTTAAATTTTAAACATTGTTATATGTCGGAAAGCTTTCAGGGAAACGCGATCGCGCGTGATATGTATGTCGGCGAGAAAAATATTTTATCGACGCTGTGAACCATTTGGCTATTTTATGCGCTAGTAGCTTCCGGCGCTCTCTAAAAATATTCCCTTTTTTCCCCATTCAAACGGATCTCGTGTTACTGTGGTTTTAATTGTTCACGGGCCACGATTTAAATCCTATTACAGATTATCGCGTTTCCAGCTTCGCCGAAGTAATTTTCACAGGTTTTCCAGCGTGAAAAAAAATACCGTACGGGAGATAGATTATTTTTTCATGAATGGAGAGGGAGGTGGATGGGGGTGGTTTCGCGAGTGAATGAATATTTCATTGTCACTGGTTAAAATCGATGATAGATTCTGCATATGTAAACGCTTCCCCGACGATAATCTGAAACATATGAAAATTTAATGAGAGTTACACGATTATGTTACGGAGGAGCCTGGTGAAAGCAGCTAAAAATGAATGAATTTTTGGGAATTTATTGTATACTTTATTGCACAATTAAACTGAATGGAAAAATGTTTATGAAACAAGGTTTCAAGAAAAACGTGAAATTTATTCTTCTATGGGTACGACACAATTTCACGAATTTCGCCATAATACATTAGGAACACATTTTCAAATTCCCAAACTATAAGAAATATTACAAGAAAAAAATCGAAATGCACTAGAATACGCCCTCAAGCAACAAAATTGAAATAAATCCGTTTCCGTGATTACGAATAAATGTGCAGAAAGCACTGGTTGCTCCCACTTTCCAACGACAGCCAGGTTATTATAAATATTAATGTAATTCAAGCAACCGGAAGGTATGCACATACTCGTGTAGTTTAAACTCCGTTAACGGGGTAGTTCACGTATCGTATGAATAATTCACTGGCTTACCGCAAAAAACTTGTAATGCATTACACATTCACGGGGCATCCCTTAACTTCCGGCGAGCGTTTGAATTTTTAGTGATACACACCCGTTTCCAGCTAATCTATTGTTCCGAAGACATCATCACCCACACACGTTGGAAGAACTTTTTCGTCACGTTCGTTCGACATTCGAGAGTCGTAAAATAAAGGTGTGGTAATGTGAACTTACATGTCGAAAAGACGAGCTGTGACCTCTGGCTGGTACTTAAAGTATCGTCAAACCTACGAATTTCGTTTGTTCAGTCAAGAACGTGAGTTGGATGATCCTCGAAGCACCACAAGACACTTTGGATAGTCGACTGGGTGAAAAACAATTAAGGCCCTTGGAAGATCTCTGGGGGATCGACCGTTACTCATTGATCCTTTAAAGGCCACTGAAAGGATCAAACAGACCCTTCCAATGGTACTCGAAGGATATGGAGGTCGAATGGGTCAAAGATGATCGAAGATGGTCGAGGGTGTTGGAAAAGTCGGACGCGACCGGGGAAGGTAGCCGAGGATGACCAATGGCGGTGAAGATGGCCGAGGAGGCGAGGTGAGCTCCTTCCAGTCCGGAAGCCCTAGAGTGACTGATGACTTTTGGTTTCGAGTTTCTATTTGTAACGGTTCGAAATACTTCTTCCCCTAACGGTTTCCCGATGACCCCGTCCTCGCTTTATCCATCCCCATCTAATAACCATTAATGAATTGAAATTCTGTCAAGTAATCAACGTTATTGAACACTGTATAAAGATAATAATTAAAACGTTGTTATTAATTAATACAAACGAATATCGACGTACACAGTAATTTGTTACCGAGAACTTTCTCGTCGATACTTATCCAAGTTTAATCAATTTCTCGTTGGCAAATAGTTATCAATGTAATACAGGGAATTACATGTACCAATTACTTAACATCCTAGTGGTAACGGAACGATGGAATTTAATCCGTGTAGCAGCCTCCATTAGATTTCGGAATTTCTACGATAAAATGAAATAAAAAATAAAGGGAATCCCGGCTCAGGATGGCCGATATATACACGCAGGGTATAAAAAGTTCCACGGAATCCCATCCCCTCCCCAAGTGAAACCACTGCAACGTTCCCAGCGAATTAATTACAAATTAACGAAGACAAAAGGTACCTCTACTGTTATGGCCTCCAGTGTGTCCCATGCGAGGATAATTCTGCCGCTTGAAAATCGAGTAAAAACCAAAATGGCCGGGCAGATAAACGCGGGGGCAATCCGACACGCTTTTACGCGCGAATTCCGAATGGTCACTGTTAACCCCACGACCGGCCATTATTACCCGCGCACGCAACCCCTAATCCGTCGGTTACCACCGAAAAATAGTCCCCCACACCCAATTTTGTTCACGTCCGTTCCTTTTTCAACGACTCGATGGCTCCATCGAAACGGACGATTTATGCTGATGCATTTACAGGCGGTCCCGCCACCGAGCCATTGTTTAACGGTGTATGCACAGTACATCACCGACCATAGACGGTCCACGGAACCGTGCATTGTGCCCAAAATTGTAACATAGCCGGCGATCGAATTTTAAAGAACAATACTGATCCCCCCACCCCTATATAGAACATACACACACCTCGAACGATCGTTCACTCTCTGCGTGTCGACGCTTCGAAACTCGCGATTGATCTTCTGGGAACTTGTACAATCGCTCACGGTACGGAATCGACAGGCC